AGGGGCTACCGCTGACTGGGGATCAGATGGGAGCTGGGGCCTGGATTCTCCATAGAAAAGGAGAGAAGGCAGAGGCCAGCACAGGAGCCTCCCTGCGTTTTGTAGAATCTCTTTGGCTGCATGTAACACTTACTCCTGTGTTTCTGGCTCTACACACCTTCCCAGCTCAAATACACACCTCCACTTACACCCCCTGTGTATCAGAATCCAGGTACCCAGGCTGGTTTGGGCTGCCCGGGCCTCTCCCCCAGGCCATAGGAACTCTCACCCTGGGGCCCTCTGGAGGGGTAGCCCTGGGGAACCTGTGGGGGTGACTTGTTTGCTCCCCACACCCCAGGAATGTACTGTCCTTTCAGGCCCGCCCGGATTCCTGTGCAGGGAGTCAGCTCGACCCAGCATGCTGCTTGTGCCCTGTGGGGACACGTTCTGCTTCACCATCAAAGGGGTGGAGGTTGGCGGCTCGTGCCTGCTGTCACACCCCAGCTCCCCGAGAACCCCAGGCCAGAGACCAAGCTGTTCAGACAGAGGAGGGAGGCCACTCCTGCTTCCCCGCCCTCCCTACACCCTCACCTTCTCCCTGCCTCAGGCCCTGTTGGAATGTGACAAGAGTCATGGCCAGGGCATGTCCCAACAGCAGGAACACACGCTCTAGCCCGCAAGGCTTCCCTCAGCCCCGAGCTCTGTTTAGGTGAAGGCAGCGGGAAGATTGTTTATGCCCAGAAGGCCACCTAAGGTTACTGCCTCCGCTGGTCCCTGTGGTGGCTGCTGCCCCCCTGCTGCAGCCTAGTTTATTACAGATGGGGGCAGAACTCAGAACCCCAAGAACTTGGAGGGAACCACAAGGTGACTCAGTCCCGCCACCGGGGGCAGATGAGAAAGGCTTATCCAGTGAGGACGGGCCACACAGTGTGTCGGCATCACTGAGCCTGGGACCCCAGCATCTCAGCTCCCCAGACCTGGGTGTCTACACCAGGGTTTCTCAGCCGTGGCACTGTCAACACTGTGTGTTGATCATTCTTTCTCGTGGGGGTGTCCTGTGCCTCACAGAATGTTTAGCAGCAGCCCTGGCCTCTACCCACTACATGCCAATGGCACCCACTCCTGTTGTGATAACCAGAAATATCTTCAGACATTTGCCAGATACCAGAGGAGGGGGCGAGGGGGGACCAAAGTCACCCTGTTTGAGAACCGTCATTGCTCTAAACTGCTGCCTTTTTTAGATTTCCTCTCCTGTGCCTTCCCCTCCTCATCACAGAGCCTGTTTACCATAGTGAACACAGAGGTAGACTTTGGGTTCCTTCTGGAGACTGCTAGGTGCCTTCTTTCCAGTATCTTCTTACATCTCTACGAGGCTTTTTCCTGGTATTCTCTTGTGCAGCCCATGTTCTCCAAACCTCTTAGTTTTTGCAGATGCTGAGAGATGAACAAGACAGATGTGGGGTAGGAGAGGGACAGGACAGGGCCAGGCCTATTTCAGAATTGGGCATGTGTGTAAGCCATGACCATGAACAATACACAGACACGCATGACTCTTCATAGAGCAGGCAGGAGCCCGGTGCTCCTAGTCCTCTCCCACCTCCACGCTTCCCCCTCAGACCCTTGTCCCATGGCTTTCCTGCCTGACTCTCCCTGGGGTGCCTTCCAGGTCCCAGACTGGGCAGGTGGCCGGTGGCACTGACAGGCGGCTGACACCTGGTTTCCACTTTCTTCCCTTCTCTGGTTTCAGGAGCTTTTGGCAAGAGGAAGTGGAGGGGCCGTGGGATGCGGAGAGCCGAGGGCTAACGCCCGGACAGCGGAACAGAGCAAGCTGCTGACAGACAGACGGTATGTCCTGGTGAGGCCTGCACCCCCACCTGGCTCTCTCCTGGGGAGGCTGGCAGGTGAGGGGAGGCAGGTGGCGCCTCTTGCCCGGGGGCTGGTGAAAGGAGACTGATGGAGCTAGTGGGGCTTGGTCTTCAGGACCCTGTCAAGCTCAGAGACCCGCTGAGGAGCCTGGGTGGGGTGACTATCCTCAAAACCTTACTTTCTGGTTACAGTTATTTTATTTGCAGTTATATTTTTTAAGGTAACGTTTAGTAACCATTTCCTGAGTGCCAGGTGCCGTTCTCAGTGCTTTACCTGACCTCACAGTAACCCTGTGACACCAGTGCTGCTCTTGCCCCATTTTGGAGCAGAGGGAGTTGACATGTGTAGAGGGCAGTTTTCCCTTCGAGGCCCCCTCTGAGCCCACACAGGACGGGGTGGCCCCCCTCTGAGCCCACACAACACAAGATGGGGTGGCAGCCTTCACACTCGCCGCCCACTCCTCGGGCAAGTGTATTCTTCCTGGTGCCAGGCCCCAGGTCTTGCCTTGCCCACCCCTCTGTTCCCCTTGGACCCATGACCCCCTCAGCACTCCCCTGACTCCTTGGGCGCTGACACACCAGCACCCAGCCCTTCTAGTGACCCCGGCCATGCCCGAGTCTGTGGGCCTGCCTGGTGGCTCCTACCTTTGTCCCCCTCACCGTCCTCTTCCTCAGTCCCGAGGCCACTTGCCCTCATTTCTGAGGCTCCTCCTCCCTGGCTTCTCCTCAGCAGGGTGAGGAGCCCTCGCCTCCCAGAATGACCAGCGCGGCCCCTGCTAGGAAGCCCTACCGCAAGGCACCGCCCGAGCATCGGGAGCTGCGGCCGGAAGCTCCTGGATCCCAACCTGAGCAGCAGGTCAGCCAGACGGCACCCCCACTTTGCCTGGTAGAGGTGGGCCCCTGAAGCTGGCTGTCTGGCCGGCTTCTCCCGCCTGAGGGGACTCTGGCCCCCTGAGTTGGGGTGAGAGTATGGCATTGCTGGTGGGGGCAGTGGGGGCTCCTAGAGGCCAGCCATGAGCACATGTCCGCATGTCAGAAGCCCCAGAGTCCTAGTAGCTCTGCAGAAATGACCCCACACATGCAGTATTGCTCTCTCTACGAGAGGCAGCCCCTCAGGCAGCCCTAACCTGCTGGAGGCTGGGACTCGTGCTCCACTGGTGCAGGAGAGCCGTCAACCTGCAGCCCCTCGGGGGGCTGGGGGAGGCGATGCTCCAGCTCCTTCCACCAGACCAGCTGTTCCTCACTGTCCCCGGAAGTCAGGCTCTTCCTCCAGCTGTACTTCGGCTCACGTTCGTTAAAGACATCGGTTATCCTCCCTCATTAAGCTCACTAACAGGAGGAAACGAGTTGGTGGTGGTTTATTCTCCCTGCTACCCGGGTTCCTCCCCGTGGCCATGCGTGGAGCGCACCTACAGGATGTGAGTGTCAGCGCATGCTGAGCATCAGGGCACCATGGCCGCCTTGGGCAGAGTCAGGGCAGAGATGCCGTGACTGGCCCATTTCAGCTCAGAGAACAGTGAACGAACAGGCCCGGTGTTGTGCTGGGTGCCCTGGTTTTGTAGACGAGGACCCCAGGCTCAGTAAGGTTGATATAACCAGCCTGTGGTAGAAATGGATCGACACCAGGTGTTAGTGGCTCCAAAGTCCATGGTCTGGGCCACCCACCGCATTTTCCTGACCCCGACTGGCGTTTGAAGCAGTCAGTTTTCTTTGGAGAGACATTTCCCTCTTGCCGTAGCACGTGCCTGTTCAGCGCTGTGTCTGGCTGAGCCCTGACTCTTGGGCTGTGACCAACATCGGGATTTTGGGAGGGTGGGGTAGGCGGTTACAAGCAAGGAGAGACACTTCACACCTCTCAGTCAGGATTAGCCCAGCGGTTCTCCTTCCCTCATGCACTTGCTCCTCCCAGGCCTCTGTGAGGGCCTGGCTCTGCGTGATGGCCAGAGCTCGGGGCCCTGCTCTGACCTGGTTTCTTCACTCCCCGGAAGGCCTCTGCCCCGCCCGCAGGGCCCAGGGTCCCGGGGAACACCTGAGAGGCTCTTACCCTGGGAGAGCTGTCATGGGCACCAGGACTTATTTGCAGCTGGCTCTAGGCCTAGGAGGGATTGGAGCTGGTGAGGGTGGGAAGGGGTTCTTGAATCTCTAGTTGGCATGGGAACGTGATCTAGGCTTGTCTGGGAATGACTGGATTGCCTCCATCACTACAGGACACTCACTGCAGCCCACTTCTGCTGTGAGAGTCTTTGGGCTTCAGAAATGGCCCTTCCCGGGCTTTCTGGAGGGTGGGTCTGGCAGGAGGCCTGTGGCCTAGAGCTGAGCCTCAAGCTTCTGTTCCTTTGTGCCCAGGAGTCCCTGACTGATGCAGAGAGGATGAAGTGAGTACCTGCTGCCCGAGAGCCTGCCCTGCCTCAGCTCTGTCCCCTTAGCTCCGGGCGAGGCTGGTGGTGTAGTTGGGCTTTTCCTTGGATTAGGTAGAGGTAAATGTTGGGTTTGGGGGGGTGGTTTAGGGACCCTGGGAGGAGGCTTGGTGTGGATATTCCTTTGAAAAAACAGGTTTGTTCCATGGGCTGCAAGAGAACCTGGAATCAAGGAGGGATGGCTCTGAGGGCCTGCTCTTGCCAGCAAGCTCTTCCCCAGCGCCTGGCCCTTCTGTGCCAGCCGCCTCCCTGGAGCCCTTCCTGTCAGCCATGTGAGGCCTCTGGAGAGGGGCAGTGCTGGGCTGGATTTCCAGGAGATTAATAATGGAGCAGGCTGGTAGTGCAGTGGGGAAACTGGAGCTGGGGGCTTGGTGGCTGGCGGGCTTGGGCTGTAACCAGAGACAGACTTAGAATCCCCCCACCCAATTCTGTCTTCTCATTCTTCTCCAGTGAGGGGGAGGGTGGGGGGACGACCATCTACTATCCCCTCTGCCTCCCCCACTCTCCAAGCCAGGCTGTGTTCTCTGGGCGAGAAGGGCTGAGGTTCAAGAGTCCCCTGCCCCTAGTTGCCTGTCTTCATGTCATCCCTACTTCCTCCCTGACCAGCCTGGGGCTCCAGGGCTGGCCCTTCTATCTCTAATGCCCCTTTGCCCTTGACTCCTTCCCTGCCAGGCTGTTGCAGCAGGAGAATGAAGAGCTTCGCAGGCGCCTGGCCTTGGCCACCAGGCGCACCGAGGCCCTGGAGCACGAGCTGGAAATTGGGCAGGACTGCCTGGAGCTGGAGCTGGGCCAGAGCCGTGAGGAGCTGGACAAATTTAAGGACAAGTTCCGCAGGTATGGGAACAAGGGGCTAGGACACACATGCACACATCTCCCCATCATTGGGGATTAGCTGGAAGAGGCCTCGTCTGATTCTGGTGAAAAAACTGAAGTTCGGGGAGGGGAATGACTTGCCCAAGATCCCTCATGAAGGAGAGGCTGAACAGGGCCTGAAGAACAGGACCTTGACCCAGGGGCCTGCCTTGTATTCCTCTACAGGCTGCAGAACAGCTACACAGCTTCCCAGAGGACCAACCAGGAGCTGGAGGACAAGCTGCACACGCTGGTAACCTGTCCAAGAGGGCAGTCTGGCTGGCACTGTGCTCACAGCATAGCAGGGGGCTAGGACTTGCCAAGGGAATGCCTTTCTGCCCAGGGGCTTGGGGAGGGAAGCGGGGGCAGTGGTGGGGAGGGGACCGCAGTGTGCTGTGCAAGTCAGGACTGTCTTAATGCTCACACTGTTTCTCTTCTCTCCTCGTCTTCCCCTCATGCTGCCACCGTTGCTGCTGCACTCTCCTCTCAGGCCTCTCTTAGCCACAGCTGGATTTTTGCAGTTGCGTCTGAGTTGTGTGTTTTCTCCCTTGCCCTGGCCGCCTCCTCAGTGGAGATCTGGGTTTGCCAGGGCCCTGGTCATTCCCCTCTGCCCAGTCCTGTTCTCTTCCTTATGTGAGGCCTGTTCAGTAGTCAGTGCCTCCTTCCTAGGGGACAGCTGGGAGCCTGCTCTTGGCCTAGGCAGAGGTACTGATTGATGTCCCTACTGAACACACAGCCTCTCGGCTGCACTGGCAGCAAGCCCAAGCCTTTGGGGGGAAGGGGCCGTCGACGCAGCCTATGACCTGAAGATCAGAAGGCTGCTTTGGAGCCGGCAGCTCCCTTCCAGCTCATCTAGATAATCTCACAGCCACCCCCACCCCCCCAGCTGCCACCCAGCCTCCTCCCTCCTCCCTCCTCCTAGCCTGATCCTGGAAACACCCACATACATAGGCTTCAGTGCCTGGGTTTGCACAGTTCTCACCTCTCAGGTACAGCCCCTTGCCTGGTGTGTAGAGTTCCCTAAAGGGTAGGGCAGCCTCTTATACTGCTGGGCCCAGGTCATACTCAGAAAGCCCCAGCCCCACAGTCAGCCCGGAGAACAGGAGAGTGTCTGGTCTCCTTCTGTCTGTCCATTGTCTGTCTCTATTCCATCCGCCTTGGCTGCCCTAGCACTTGTGGCTTCCTGTGTCTCGGGCTGGGAGGAGGGAAGGGGAGGAAGGGCTTGCTGGGGCATGGACTGGGTTCACCACAAGTCTCGTGCTTCAGATCAAGAAGGCTGAGATGGATAGGAAGACACTGGACTGGGAGATTGTAGAGCTGACCAACAAGCTGCTGGATGCCAAGAACACCATCAACAAGCTGGAGGAGCTCAACGTATGTGCACTTCCCGGGCCTTCCTTGCCTGTGGCCAGCTCTTCCTGGCCCAGCCCTGCTCCCTGGGGCCGGGCTGGACTCTGAGCCACATTTGTATCTGCAGGAGCGGTACCGGCTGGACTGCAACCTGGCTGTGCAGCTCCTCAAGTGCAACAAATCCCACTTCCGTAACCACAAGTTCGCTGATGTGAGTACAATACCTGCCCCAACAGTGCCAGTCCAGCCTTTTTAAGACTCTTCTAACTCTAGTTTCTACACCTCTCTCCATCCCCTTGCCTTTCACTAAATGTCTCCTCGCAAGCCAGTCAACTCTGCCACTGGTTGGTATCCTGTATGCTGTCACTGGCCCATCACTAGGGCTGAGGGTTGGCCTGTTGGTATTTTTGGAACAGAGACAGGGAGAGAGGGACTCAGTTTCAGGATCCCATGCAGGAAGGAGGGGTGGCCAGAGCTATCAGCCATAAGAATATTTAGAGAGTATTAGGCCCAACTGATCCCCTGACCCCAAAGGACAAACTCTAGACCCAAAACCCTCAGGCCCAAGGTTGATGGGGCCGATGAGCAGTGGGACATTCCCAAGGCTGTCGGTCAGTACAGAGCCTCAGACTTACGTCTGGTTTGGGCAGAAGCTACTGCTAAGATGGGGAAGATAGAAGTTCAAGAGCACGTGGGCCTTAGCACCAGTTCTGGGTTCAGATCCTGCTGGTGTTAGTCAAAAGCTTCAAGTTATTTTAGCCCCAATGAGCCTGTTTATGTGTGAAATGAGGATGTACCTGGGCGTGCTGCAAGCACAGGAGACAGCAGTGCCAAGCACACCGTGGTGCTTGCATGTGGTAGCCGTGTTTTGCCATGATTGAGCCTGTCTTAGGTTGGGATCATTCATGTCTCTCTTCCCTTCTGCTCCTTTACCCCAGCTGCCCTGTGAGCTACAGGACATGGTTCGGAAACATATGCACAGTGGTCAAGAGGCTGCCAGCCCGGACCCTGCCCCCAGCCTGGCACCAGGGGCTGTGGTACCCACCTCGGTCATTGCCCGCGTGTTGGAGAAGCCAGAGTCTCTATTGCTCAATTCGGCCCAGTCAGGCAGTGCTGGGCGCCCCTTGGCTGAGGATGTCTTTGTGCATGTAGACATGAGTGAGGGTGCCTCAGGTGACCTAGCCAGTCCCCCAGTCCCTGGCAGCCCCACCCCTCAACCCAATGGGGAGTGCCACTCTCTGAGCACTGCTGGGGGCTCCCCAGATGAGGAGGTTCCTCTGCCGGCCTTTGAGAAGCTAAGCCCCTACCCCACCCCATCTCCACCACACCCTCTGTATCCTGGCCGAAAGGTAATAGAGTTCTCTGAGGATAAGGTGCGAATCCCCCGCAATAGCCCCCTGCCCAACTGCACGTATGCTACCCGCCAGGCCATTTCCCTGAGCCTGGTGGAGGAGGGGAGTGAGCGGAGCCGTCCCAGCCCAGTGCCCAGCAGCCCTGCCTCCGCCCAGGCTTCACCCCACCACCAGCCCAGCCCAGCCCCCCCAATACTCAGCGCCCCAGCCAGCTCTGCCAGCTCTGAGGAGGACCTGCTGGCCAGCTGGCAGCGGGCATTTGTTGACCGCACTCCACCGGCCGCCGTGGCCCAGTGCACAGCTTATGGACGTGATGCGCTCCCCGAGCTGCAGCGCCAGTGTGCTCTGAGCCCCGCTGACAGAGAGGAGGCGGTTCAGGCACCTTCTTCCCCACCTGGTGAGAGTGGGCCTTTGCTGCCAACAGAACCCAACTCTGGCCTTCCCAGAGAGGAAGATGAGGAAGAGCTGAATCTGCCCATCAGCCCTGAGGAAGAACAGCAGAGCCTGCTGCCCCGTGATACTGGCACAGACACAGGGCCTGGTGCTTCCCCCACTGAGGGCAGGACCTGGGCCCTCCCCGGCTCCAGCCGGCCCCAGCGCAGCCCTAAGAGGATGGGGGTACACCACCTACACCGCAAGGACAGCCTGACCCAGGCCCAGGAGCAGGGCAATCTGCTCAATTGAGGCCCCTGCTTGCCTTCCTGCCACTGCTGCCCTGGGACTGCAGGAGACCTGGTCCTTGCAGCTCATTCATTGTCCTCTCCCCAGCCAAGCCCTTGAACTTTCGTCCCTCTAGGCCTGCACAGCTCTGTTCCTTGTACGGGGAGGGCCCGGTGGTGGGCCACACCAGGCCTTTCAGCTGCATTGACTGACTGGCACCAGCTTGCCTCATGGTTTTCCCCTTCTTGAAATATTTATTCTCCAAAGGTAACATGCAGCCAGGGCTCAAGATCTTTCTTCAAATCAGTCCAGCCCAAATCGGGCTGTTCTGGGAGCTGAGGGGCTTATCACATCAGTGTTCATCCTCCATCTGCCTCTCATAGCCATGAGGTGTTGTTTTGTTTTTTGATGAGGGGGTGTTATTGGGATTATTAACCTCTAATTCCTATTTTCTATTAACCTTTCTATTTTTTACCTGTTTCCCTCTCCCCCAGAATCCCTTGCACAGCCATTGCCTTTAAGGGGCCTGGCACAGCGCGCCTTCCGGGGTGGGAGAGGGCTGACTCAGGGCTCTCCTCGGCTGTTCCCTCTGGAAGGGAGTGGAGGGCGGGTCTCGGGCCTCCAGCTGGGCTCTAGATGAGGCCTGGCTCCCCTCCTAATCTTGGCTCTAGACTGTTACGCCCAGCTTTGGGAAATTTTCACACTGATGATTTTAAAATTAAATAAAACTATTTTACTGTTATGGACTAATTTGTCTATTACTGACGGTTCTGCTCCCCATCCCTGAGTATGCCCAGTCCCTGTGATGTCCTACTTTTTGCTGGTGATTCTCCCTTGCCCCACTCTGCCTGGGCGCAGAGCATCAGGCAGGGGGAGAGTGTGTACCTTAGTAACCTTGATGGGGCCCCTGTGTCTCCCCTTGAGGTAGAGTCCAGCCCAGCTCTGGAGGTAAGCTCTTTACCTTAGTTATATTGTTATAGGGCCTGTGTGAGGTGTCACCTAGCAGTGCAAGGTCTGAGTCCGACTAGTTTGAGACTTGGGGCCAGGGGATGCTTTGGCTGTGGGGTGGCACTGCCCCCTAGAGGTGCCTAATGGTAATGCCACTTCCTCCCCTACTGCCAGCCCCAAGTGACCACAGCCATACGCCAGGTTGTAGAGTTCATAAAAATCTCTTCCGAGCCAGCGGGCTGCAGCCAGAGCTGCCAACAAGTCCAGAGCCATTGCCTTGCGTTTGAGTGCCCCCAAGGCTGGTGCTCATTCACAGCTTCCAGAGCCTCCCATCACACTGCCAGGAGCTGCCAGAGCCCCAGGCAACCCCCTCCCTCCCAAGCCCCAGGGCCTGACCCTGGTATCTGGGGCAAGGTGCTGGGGACAGAGGCGAATGTAATAATGTGTGGAAGCCCAAGTGGAGAGTCACATCTCGGTCTCAGCCAACAGACTGTCCCCTAGTCCTGACGTCATTAGCACCATCTGAGAGCTGGGATCTGTGGAAGGCAAGAGGGGTGTTCAGACCACCATTTGTTCCTGCAATGGGGACTATAAATAGGAAGAAAGTGGCCCAGGTTTCCATACCCATCCTCCCGGGTCCCAAGCCTCTTCAGACCTGGCTCCCATCAACCCACAAGGCTCTTACCACTGGGGCACATCCAGGAACTGCTTCCCCTCGGGTGGGCGGCAGGCTCCCGCCCCCTCTCTCCTTCCTGGGTGTGACCAGGCCCTCCTGCCACCTCTTCCTCCTCTTCTCCCTCAGAAAGGAGGTCACAGATCTGCTGCTGCAGCTCTGGGCTGATGCTGTTCTCAGCCAACACCAGGCTCCGCAAAGCCGTGGGGTAATTCTCTACCATGTCCAGCAGGGTCTGGGGTAGAAAAGAGTATGGAAAAGAATAAACTCGGTTAAGGTGGCTTCCTTGACTCCAGCCTGCCACCCCTTCGTTATGTCCAGACACCCCGGCCAACTCCCCCTCCCCCACCCCCAGGCCTTCCCCAAACATGAAGATGTCTCACCTGAGCAGACTGGTTGGTGAGCCCTGTGCTCTCCAAGTCTAGGACCTCTAAGGTGCGACTGGAGGCCACAGCCACAGCCAGCATCCCTGCCACATGATCACCTTGGGAGACAGCACGCACACACACATACTCACCTACATTCATGCACAGCCCTGCTAACCCTTCCTCCCAGACAGCTTCCCCATCGCCCTAACAACCTTAGGTCCCACCCCCAGGCCAGGAAACGCTGACAATTGGTAGGTAGCCAGGAGCAGAGCATTGTGATTGGTGAGTGAATGCATGAAGCGAGCTGGAAGGGGTGATGGATGCTTTGATCTACCTGTTGGTCATCTATCTGGTCCTCCACACACGTGGCTCCTCTGCTTCCTCCCTGACCCCCCTCCATTTTCCCTTCCCCAGTGTGGGGGTTACCGTGGCAACCGCTGGTCCCAGGTTCTTGGATGGGGGGTGGGGTGGTGAGAGTCTAAGGAAGTTTTCTTGAGCCTCACCCAGGGGGTTGTAGTCCAAATTGAGGACGCGGACCTGGGAGCTGTGGGCCACAGCAATGGCAAGGCGGCTCCAGCCCTTAGGGGTGATGTCAGGGTTGGCACTCAGCGTTAACTCCTTCAGACCTGGGCAACGTCGCAAGGAGAAGCCAGGATGGGAAAGTGCCAGGCCCTCTTGAAGCTCCTACCCTGCCCTAGATCTCTGGGGTGTCCCTAGAGGCTGGGAGGCACCCCACCCCCACCACAGAACTCCAGGGCCGTTAGAGACCCGGCCCTCCCCTGCCCACCAGAACTGGATTTCAGATTCTCCATCCTGTTCAACCCCTAATCCTCCTCCTTCCTGAAAATATTTAAAATACATTCTCACCCACACTGTCAGAGCCCTCCGCTCTGGGCCGGGGCCCCCTGCCCTCTGCATTTAGCTTTTCATCAAGGCCACACCAGCCCCTACCCTTAGCAGGGCCCTGCTCACCAGACTTGGCCCCGTCTGGGGGGAGGAGGCCACAGATGAGGTTGATGGCTTCATCACCCAGCATGCAGTCCCCCAGGTCCAGAGCCACAAGGGCAGGATGGAGGGCCAGGGCTGGGTTCAGCAAGGCCAACCCCGCATCTGTCAGGGGGCTCCCATGCAGGCTGGGGGGTGAGACCAGAGAGCAGAGGTTACAGTCGTCAGCCCTATCTGTGGGGGAAGAGGTGAGCCCCGAGGAGAGGAGGGCACTCAGGCCTCGGCACTGAGGCGAGGCTTTGGGAAGGGAGAAAGGAAATTCCAGACTCTAGACTCTAGAGAGGAACGCAGGTAGATGGTTCCTGGGACCCGGGACAGAGGGCAGAGAAGGGGGTGGGGTGGGTTAGGGTGCCTCGGTAGGAGGATGCCGGGCAGTGTTCCTTTTGGGGGACTGAGGAGCTGCCCCCAGAAGTCAATGCGGTGACTCGGTGAGAGGTGCACGTGCCCCCCCAGGAAGGGGTGGGTATCCCAACTGCTTTGGGGTGAGGCTGAGGGTGCTGGTTCCGGAGGAGGGATGTGCCGGGAGGGTGGAGGCAGAGGGGGAGGGCGGTGTGTCAGGGGAAAGAGGGAGGCGGTGCAGAGAGGCCCAGGAAGGTGCGCGGAGGAAGGGGCGGCAGGCAGTGCGAGGAGGGACCCCTTCCGGGACAGCACACTCACAAGAGGGACTGGATGGAGCGGTTGGTCCGCAGCGCCTCCGCCAGCTGCTTGATGCGGCTGGGGCTGGACACGACGCCCAGGTTAAGGTTGAGCTGCGCCAG